GGCCACTGACACCAGCTCACAGAGCTTGTACCCTCACCCCACCCCAGCTGCCTGGATAGTGGCAGCTCCTGCTCAGCCCCAGCCACCCCGCCAAAGGGTTCCTGAGTGTGGGCTCAGCGCAGCTGGGCGGTGGCAGGTCCCTGTGTCTGCCTGCTGGCAGAGCTGGTGGAAGCACCTGGGAACTTCTCCTTGGCTGTAGCCGTCCTCCACGTGGCCCTAGCCCCAGCTGCCAGAGCAGCCCGCCTTTCACGCAGCCCCATAGCGACTGCCAGAGCTGGAACTGCGGCCACGCTGAGGCCACCTCAGCAGGGACAGCCTCACCACGGCCCCATTGCAGCACACAGCTGGGGGAGCTGCCCGCCGTGCCATTCACCAAGGCTGCACTGGCCAGCCCATGGGGCAGTTACTACTCCCTATGATCAGTCGGGAGCATTACTGTCCCTCCTATCATAGCCCTCCCTCCATGCTTAATGAGAAACAGTCACATTTCGTGCTCATCCCATTGTCCTGGCACAACCAACCTTGCTTTACATTATGATAAGAGGAAATTACACACCAAATTTGGTGGTCCTAGCTCTCACCATTTAGGAAGAGTTCTTGAACAGATGGAAGGACAGATGCTCAGACTCTCTCAAATATACAGTAGAGTGGGGTTAATGATGTCAGCTGCGATACTGAATTTTATACGATTGGCCCAAAACATGGAGCATGAGCCTGCTCCGGCTTAAATCAGTTAAAAGTCCTGTTGAGTAAATACAAAGAAATGATTTCAGGATCTTTTTCTGGAAGAACATAAAATGACCATTGTTACTTCCCTGGGGTATGTGTGCACACATGAATATGCTGTTGTATGCACAAGTTTTCACTAATTGTATTAAATCCACTAGAATAAATAAAGTTTGAGAAAAGACGGCTGAGTTAAAAATCAGCTGCTAATAATAGTCATTTGTGATGTTTTTCCCTTCATGATTAACTTCTTCATTCTCAGCCAACATCAGCAGCACAGCACAGGGAAATGGCCTTTTCTCCTAGCTTTGACTTTCAAAGGACCAGCCAGCGCCCAGCCCTCAAAACTTTTGGCGGACAGGTATAGAAACATTTGCATTATGGTAATTGATTTATTTGCAAGTTCATTATGATAACACAGGACTGCTTTAAATCAATTAAGAGTTATTTGCAAATTCATTATAACACAGGACTGCTTTAAATCAATTATTTTACAGTGCATCTGTACGCACACAATAAGGGAACCAGGGGAAGATGGAGAAGGGGGTGAGGAGCGCGAACGAAAGAGGAGCATGAACTTTCAAAGGACCAGCCAGCGCCCAGCTGCAGCTCTGAATTCCTCTTGTGGATAAAGATCTGTCTAATAACGGAGTGGTCAAACCATGGCTCAAGAGCTAAATGTGTCTCTTTTGGAGTTAAAATACAGTTTATGAAAGCCCTTCATGTCCTTCTCATTCTCTGCCTACCAGATTGGGCTGGGAGCTTGGGGATTCTGCCCTGCAGTGGAGGGGTACAGTTTATGAAAGCCCTCCATGTCCTCCTCATTCTCTGCCTACCACATTGGGCTGGGAGCTTGGGGATTCTGCCCTGCAGTGGAGGGGTGGGGTACGGGCTTCTGCCCTACAGGCAGGAGAGCCAACAGACTTGCCAGGCCCTTGGGCAAGGGAAGACTGGGCTCTGTTCTGTACTCCCAGAGGGGCGGGGCCGGGAGCTCTCAGTGCTGCCCAGAGGGTACTACATCTCCCCCACCCCCTGCAAGCCTCAGAGCCAGCTGGAGCATGGCGCATTGCACTCTGGCAGTGATTTAAAAGGTCTGGGGTTCCAGCCACCCCACTGTAGTAGTAGCAGCCATGGCAGCTGGAAGCCCTGGAACTTTTTGAATTGCTGGGCCCCTGGGCAGTTGTCCCCTTTGCTCCCTCCCCACCCAGTGGATCGACCTGCTTAGAGGGGTTGGAGTCTAAGGCTTTAGCCAGGTCCTGCCTTCGGGCAAGGTGAACGAGGCAGTTGCCTTGGGCCTCATGTTTTCAGGGCCCCATGCTGCTCAGCTGCTGGCCCCGCCCACCCGGCTGCTCACTCACTGCCCTGACTGGGAGCTGCGCGGCCCAACCAAACACAGCATGCTGCCTTAAGCCCCACGAATTCTTTGGCTGGGCCTGGCATTAGCTCCATAGCCCGGCAGATACCACCATCCCTTGGGAAAGGGAGAGTGTCTTGCTTTTCTTGAACTTCTTTAGCTTGCTGTATGTGGTTTGGTGGGTCAGTAAGTTTAGCCACTCCTGGTCTGGTCGTTCTGAAGCAGTGATGGACCAGGCTCTGCAGCCCTCAATAGAGCCCTGAACAGAATCCAATCTGCACACGTGGTCCATGGGTATCTGCAGATTCACCAGGGTCTAACCCTCAACACAGCTAGCTACTAGAGCAGAGGTGGGGAACCTAAGGCCTGGGGGCCGGATGAGGCCCCTGGCTTACCTGGATCTGTCCCCCAAGGCTCAGGGGCCCCCAGCATTTGAGAGCCTGCACTAGGGCTGGAGCACACAAAATCTACTATGCTGGGCCACCCCTAGGGTCTGGTGTGTGAGGAGAATGTGGGGAGTGTCTTTCTTCTTCTCAGTTGGGGGCCACATCAGTAAGGGTTTGGGTTTTTTTGTTTGGGTTTTTTTTTCCACTTTTGTGGCCCCTGACTTATTTTTCTGTGGGTCAGCAGCCTCCAGCTCAAAAAGGTTCCCCATTCTTGTACTAGAGGGTTTGCATCTTAAATTCTGGGCCTTACATCAGTACAGTTCACCCATACAATGTTTGTATGGGTGAAGAACACAAGCAACAGGCATGGTTATAATACACCTGTCACCATTCCACATGGTTGGTTCAAATCCCTTGTCTAATTAGGTCTTCTCACCCAAAAGGGATTTAAGTTGCATTTAGAGTGAGGAAAAAAAAAGTAATAGGACACCATGATGATGTGATCCATGTGCTGTGGCAGGAAGCTAGCATTCCAAACCCAGATCTACCACGGATACACAAAGTTACTTACTATTTCCATTGAACTGCAAGTTCCATTAACAATTTTCATCAATCCTAAGATATTCAAACAAATAAGAATTTATTTTCTTTCAGTGTGCTTGTAAAGACCCATTTAAAGTGGTAAGCGCTGTGGAGCTCTGTAGAGGGTGCTGTAAAAAGCTGTCCTAAGAACAAACTTAACGCAGTTGGTTAATATATTGATCTTTTGCTCTTGGAAATCAGTGTCAATTTATTAAGACACTTGGAAGGCAGGAAAAGCAGATTCTACTGCTGACTCGCTGTGAGCTCCCAGGGACTTTTCTTCACTTCTTTCTGCTGTAATATCCTCATCTGTAAAATACTTACCCACTTTGTAAAGTGCTTTGGAATCAGGGGGTTAAAAAGTGCTATATTAGTACTGAGCATCATTATTAGGGTTACTGATGGGGTTTTTGGGGAGAGGAGGGTGTCTGTACACACAAAAGTTGTGCTGCTTTGCCTATACCTGCATAGCATATACCTCAAGCACAGAGACAGTTATAATCATAGGTAGGTACTTTACACCAGTATACTCCTGGGCTGTGTCTAGACTGGCCAGTTTTTCTGGAAAATCTTGCCAGCTGTCTACACTGGCCGCTTGAATTTCTGCAAAAGCACTGACTTCCTACTGTAAGAAATCAGTGCTTCTTGCGGAAATACTATTCTGCACCCGTTCAGGCAAAAGTCCCTTTTGCGCAAAAGGGCCAGTGTAGACAGCTCAGATTTGTTTTCCGCAAAAAAGCCCCGATCACGAAAATGGCGATTGGGGCTTTTTTGTGGAAAAGCGTGTATAGACTGGCGGAAAAGCATCAGTGTCAATCTAGACGCTCTGTTCCGAAAATGCTTTTAACGGAAAACTTTTCCGCTAAAAGCATTTCAGTAAATCATGCCAATCTGGACGCAGCCTTTGGGTATAGATGACAAGAAGAGGAATAAGGCCTTATCTGCCTGAGGAGGGGTTGTCTGGTATAGCTAACAACATAACCTCTACAGCACTGTAAGCAAAGTTACATCAGTATAGCTGTGTCCCAGCTGGAGTTGTGCTGACTTAAGTGTGACCTTGTTCACCTAACCGAGAGAGGGCAGATCGTGGGAGGTGGGACATCTGGAGCCTATTGCATGAGCCTCTGCAGCTTAAGCTAAAAGCCAGCTGGCACTCAGCTAAGACTGAGGAAACTCAGTGGTCTAAGCGTCACTACACTGGACTGTAGAGTACACCCAGTAGGCGAGTGGGTCA